GGTGATGCGGTGTGTGAAGGAGACCGAGACAGCTGTCGGGCATGCGGTCGATGTAGCAGTGGCAGTCTTTGTGGTAAGGGTGGTACCAGTGGTGGGCGTAGCGGAGCCAGCAGTAAGGACGATGGGCTCACCATTGCTGACGGTTACACATATCCTACCGCTGCCGTCGGCGGTCACCGCGGCTCCGTTTCCGTAGACGTTTGTCCATTTTCCGTTGGCCTTTTGGGTGTTGAAGCAATGCTGCTGGTTGGAAGTGCTTCCGGCATTCGTAGTAAGAACGATAAGGTTACCGCCTGCACGGCTCCAGGCGTAGGCGTTGTCCGCTACATACAAGTGAACATGGTCATCAGCGGCAAGACCTCCTGCAGACTTCCTCGCGGCAGTCAACTTCTTGATGGCCTGGTAGAGGTTCGCGTTGGTGTTGAAGCCGCTTCGCCATAGGTCCTCTCGGTTGGCTGGGTCGTCACCGCCAGCGTATCCTTGTTCGGTACCGTAGTAGAGGATGGGAATACCTCGTGCAAGGATGACGTAAGCCAGGGCGTTCTTGAGCAGGGTCTGATCGTTCTTCACGTTGAGCCAGCGCTTGTTGTCGTGGTTGTCCAAAAAGGTACCGAGAGCAGATGGGTCGGGGAAGGTGTTGCTGACGGTGTTCATCATGTCTACGAGCGCCTGGGATGAGCCCTTCTGTTGGTAGAAGTTGTTCATAGGGTAGTAGACCGCGTAGTTCAGAAGACCAGGCATGAGCTTGGCGTACTCGGCAAGGTAAGTTGGGCTGCCATCGAACACTTCGCCGATGCTGTAAACTCCCGTCGCAGAAGAGAATCCGGGCCAGAAGTCTTTCTCGACGTGCTTGACGGTATCGATGCGAACGCCATCGAAGCTGTACTCCTTGACGAGCCAAGAAACCCAAGTGTTCATGACGCTGCGGATCTCGGACGATTGAGTGTTGAGGTCAGGGAGACCAGCAATCTGGCACTGCTCGACGCTACCTTGGTTGCTGTAGTTGATGTCGCAGGCGGAATGGTATGAAGAAGCTTGGTTCAGTGGCGAAGGGCGGTTGTTCGTGATCGCACCTGGTCCCATGTGATTGGCAACGACATCGACCATGACATAGACGCCCTGTACCGGATTAGTGGATGTATAAATTTAATGTTGCCTGACTTAGTCGTACCTTTGCATGAGCGGTGCTAACTAGGCTCTTCAGATCGGCAGCAGTACCGTAGTTTGAGTTGATGGAATACAGGTCCTCAGCCCAGTAGCCATGGTATCCAGCAGCCTTGTCTACGATTGTTGTTAATACACATAAAGTCCAATGTTGACGAGCGAACCGTACTTGAAACGACCGGAGTGATCCAGATAGCATCGAATCCTAGGCCCTTGATGTAGTCGATCTTGGACTCAAGTCCCTTGAAAGTTCCGCCACAGTAGTTGCCAAGGTTGCTGCATGATGCGCCTCCAGTGTCGCTGCTGCTGCGGGCAACACGGTCAGTGAGAACGAAGTAGATGCTGCGAGACTTCCAGGCGCTCGTGTCGGCCGCTGAAACGAGGGAAGTGAAGCCCAAGAGAGCAGTGGTGATGAGGTTGGAGAACAACATCTTGATCAGCTCGATGCTTTTCTGAGCGGATGCTTGAAGTTGCGAGGCTGTGATGCTTTCGTTTTGGATGAGGTCGGCCGCTGGATTTATAGACGTGCCACGCGTGGGTATCACAAGGCCACCCAGTGTCCCTCAGGCTACCCCACAAAGTTGCCTTAATCCCGAGTAAGGCTTACACGACCTCGTGGTAGACTTCTGCGCCTCTCTGCGGTAGTCGAAGATGCTAAGAAGCCGAAGTATGGTTAGAAGCCGCACAGAGAACGATGGTGATGCTCCGGACCGTCATGAATCCACTGAAAGAAGTGTACCTGGGTGATCATAGTACTCGTGGCGATCTCTCGGACCGAGTTAGAGGCGTCCAGTGTGCCTCGTGGACGTTTGAAACACATCGGTGGGGTACAGAAAACGGTCAAGGGCCCCGATCAGGAAGCTGCGGAATACTAGACCTCCGACTTTGCCATGGACGCAGTAGTATTGGCCGCTGCACTTGTTTGGCGTATTGGCTCTAGGGCAGACTAGAGGGTGGGAAGGCTCAGGGGAAATGAAGGAAGTCGCAGGGTCGAAATGAGGGTGGCGGCGTAAGCGAGCTGATGTGCCTCGGGATTGCGGCTTAGCGTCACCATCACGATCCGCCGTCCCCGCATTCCGGTACTTTAGTACCGCCCAAGTCAATTAAGGTGCGGGCCGGACAGCGTTCTGAGGTCTTCTGACTGTTCTGCATATGCGTCAGCGCGTCCTCTGTTTGCTGACGCGCATTGTTCCCGACAGCGACCCAATGAACGCGAGGCCGCTTTCACGACCACGACTAAGACGGCAAGCCTCCGAAGAGCGCTAGACGCTTCCATTAGGGCATGTACAGATGGCGGACGCCCTCCGACTTCTAGTCGACGAGCTAGAAGAGAATCCGCGGGTTTGGGGATTTCCACGAATCCACGTGTTGAAAGGAGATTTTTCAGAGTCTGGAGCCGACATGACGCGAAGACGTTTCCGGGGTGCAGCATTTGGACCATGGCAGATATCGACAGCGCATCAAGAGACTTGCAAAATGCACTCACCGAAATTTTACATGCCGAGGCGCTGCTTGGAGTAAGAGCCGACATCAATCCAATGGAAGCAAAGCATGCATTACATCCATGTGGAAGATCACGATAACCGCGGGTAGGAAAGAAGCTCTTGGGTAGGAAAGAAGGATTTCTTGTTCGTGAAGTGGTCATCGAAATTGCTGATGGGGTGCCAATGTCCCAAGCGCAGTTCTCTCGACGATGGCACTCCTTAAAGTCGAAAAGCATACGACTAGACGTGAAGTTGCTTCAAAGCGTGTCATCTTGCTTCTCCGTCTGCTCTCTACCTAGGCAGTTGGCGCTCGGGATCTATGGCATCATTGTTGCAGCGCTTCAGAAAAGCGACTTCAGCAGTGACTACTGAGGATAACCATGTCGCATCAACAAACCTGTAAAGTGGCCTGCGAGATCTGGCTGGGTCACGCTCAGCGTTCTGCTCTACTGGACAATGTCTTTGTTGTCGGAGATATGGAGGTAGTTCGACAAAGCCATTCGTTCCGACGATTGTCCCCTTTGTGGACCAAGCTGTATAACATGGACGATCCTTAGTCTGTCGCGTGTCTTGTTTTCCAAAGTCACATCATCACCGACAGTGACCAAAGTGAACGATCGCCCGCATCTCAAAGTTTCCCTCACGCTTCATGGCTTATGCACACCGCACGAGGGCTGGAGCTCGCCACACTGGCTACAATCTGCGCGGTATCCCGATACCGGCAGCAGTGGTGCCAGCGGCACCAGCGGCACCACATCCAAGACAAGTAGTCAAGAATACTGTAGCTAGACGAATTCGGAACGAATGGCTTATCACGCGGCAAAACAGGAGAAGCAGAGGCTTGGGGCGAAATGGTAACACCTGTTTTCGCCTGAGCGGTTTGCAAGCGCTATTGCATCTGCCAAAGTTCCTTCAGTGGATCATCTCACACAACAGTACGCAAGGTAGTACGACTGCTTTCCCTTGTCGTCCTGTTGCCGCTATTCAAGCGCAACTAGCACAGGGCTTGACGCTGGGTAAAAGCGATATTTCGAAGAAAAAGAAAGACGAAGATCAACCAGAAGATCTAGAAGACTGCCCCGCTTGCGCAGTCAAGGCTCTAGCGCAATTATATTGGGGTAGTCAAGATATCAATGCTACTGGTCATCCCAGGCCACTGCGCTTTAATGATGCACTGCTAGATGCGGTGCACGATGTAGACGAAGCATTGCGTATGTTTACGCCTGGAGCGGGTACAGGTAACGCGCAACAAGATCCAGAGGAAATGCAAACGCGATTACTAACGGCATGCCTTGAATCTGTGGACCACACGTAAGATGCCTGAAAGATACCAGACCGGCTTGTGCTAACAAACGTAGTCTCGCAGTTAATACCGAATGGAGAACTCGCTATGAAGCACTCTTCATTCTTCAGCTCGATCTGAACCGAACTTGTGCATGCGGTGCTGCCCGGACGTTGCCTGCAGGTACCAACGTTGACGGTATCGGGTTCAATAACGTCGCTATTCTCCCTCCGGGTACCAGAGATAGCGTCACAGATGCCATGCATCGACACTTCACGCCATCGCCTTTGGGCAATCTCCCTTGCGGTACCTGTAACATGCTCCAGCCGTTCACCGAATCTATACACATCGAAGGGTCGCCCGAGTACCTCCGCATCAAGCTCAGTATTGTCCACCAAGGAGCCAAGAACTTCAATCCTGTAGTTCTCAACGAATACCTGGATCTTGCTCAATACCAAACCGTCGGCGGCAATCCACCGTCGCTCAAGTATCGACTGAGCAGTGTGCTGTCTCACTGTGGACGATATCTTAATTCCGGACATTGGGTAGCGAGCGCACGTGGTCCTGATCACGTCTTCTACATCAATGATGCTACGGTTACCCAGCAAGACGCACCCTCGCGGTTGAGAGCTAACCCACAAATGAAGTCGCAAGCTGTTGTTCTGGGGTACAGACGAGTTCATACTAGGTAAAGTCTAGATGATAGCTGTATTCGATAAGATCAGAAAGTCGGCAGGTCGACTTTGTTTGCTTCTCACGCTCTGTGAGCTTTGTTGGTATCGTAATAATAGTAATGTCCCTTAACTCCACCGTCCGGAACTGACTCGCTTTTTTTCACCATAAACGAATGCTTCGCGGTGAAAAGCCTCGTCCCTCCTTCCTCAAACGATATCTCTGCCACGTGCCTGCGTCATAGCGCACTGTTGTAGGCAGCCGTGAGCGCCAAGCCCAGACTTTCCGTTTGCTCTTACCTTGAGATCCCCACCTCCCTCACCACAGCTCCAGGAAGATCTTCAGTCTTTCCAAACTGTGCTTTACAACTTCTTTCGAGTCTACGCTTGAACGCAACCATGGCGACTGCATTCCATCTCTTCTCCGACCTGCCCGCGGAACTGCGCGTGCGTATCTGGCACGTTGCCCTCGAGGACGACTACGACGATCTCAATGGCCGCGAACGCATCATCGAGCTTCATAGCTACAACCCAACGACAACGTCAATCGCCATCGCCGTGTCGCGTCGTTACCCAACGCTTTTCGAAGTCAATCGCGAAGCGCGATGTGAAGCTGCCAAAGCCGGTGGTGGAGAGTGGGTTACTGTAAGTGCTCGTTCAAAATCACTACCTTGAGCTTCGTTATACTAACGCTTTTGTTCTGAACCAGGTCAACGCACGTTGCCAGAGCAGATGTAAGACGAAGTACACGACCACCTTCAGCGTGTACATAAACTTCTCGCAGGACGTCCTCTTCCTCTCCTCCCGATTCCTCGTCGACAACGACGACCGCGGAGGACCAGGTATCAGCATCCCGGTGTGTCTTGAGGAGAAGAAAGTGCGTTTTTTGGTTATCTTACTGCGTCCCAGCGTCATCAAGAAGATTGCGTACCTCGTGCTCACGGTAGTCCCCAGTCAAGGACTTCCGGGGGGTTCTTACAAGGGCAAACTTCTCGAGCTGTTCACTGGTCTCAAGCGCCTCCATTTCCATTCTCACCCTCGTTCCTCTGACCTTCTTCGAATCTGTGAATCTGTCGGACGACATCTACAACACGTCTGGAAGGTCTCCGACGCAGGACCACCACAGGTGTCCCACCAACAGATGTTTCCCCAGATGTTCCACCCCAATGAGCGGGGTAATATGACTTGGCTCTTAGATTCTGGCGTCATACATGTGGAGGCTGACGGCATTCGCAAGGTCGAGTGGGGATTCAGGAAGGACCTGTGGGTTCCGAGGGCGAAGAAGAACGGATCGGGGACTCTGCGAAAGATTGCTTAGGGAGTGCGGAAGATGGAGATATCTTGTACGCGAGATGCATCAGACTGCGGGACAATATTGGCGGACTCGAATGGGATGAAGACATGACTTGACCTATTGGACGGGCCGACCAACGAAGCAGATAGCAGCACCATCAAGAAGCCCAATATATGTAACACATCAAAAAGCAGGCAATGAAGGATAACAATGAATTCTCCTCATCCCCAGACCCAAACTCCTGCTATGCGTACACCTACACACCCTGCACCTTGCGATAACTCGGCGGCTTAAGCGTCCTCCTCAACAACTTAACCGCATAAGGCGGCACAAGACTAATCGCTGCAATAACCGCAAACTTCCACCAAAATGCCACACTGCCCACGTACTCAAGATCAAAATACCCCGTCAAAAACGGCACGGAGCCAAAGTAAATCACCGCCGTACCCACAATACTAGCAATCATGATCCAGTGCCACGTCGTCACCTCCATAGCCACCATAACAAGCTCATTCACGATAAGCACGGAGAAACTGACGCTGACCATCTTGAGGAAGGTGGGGTCAGGTGCCGCAGGCGGTGTTGTGGATGTACCCACGCCGATGAGGAGTTGAGAGAGACCTTGTATAATGGAGCCCTGGTAAACAGAAACCGCGACCCATATGAAGAAAGATTTGTAACTCAGACTACGTCCTGTTTTGAGTTCAGCGTACAGTTCCGGGTAGAGGTTCGCGACGCTCTCATCGACATCGCGATCGAGCACGAGAGAGAAAACAGGCATCATGGTGTAGATCGTGCTGTAGCCGACGAGCAAGAAGTCTTTGTATAGAGCGTTGGGCTCAAAGCTGCTGGCGATGGAGAAGACGGTTTGGCAGATGCTGATGATGAGACCGCGGTGGATGACGAATTGACTCAGTTTGGCGGAGCGCTTGTAGCTGTTGCGGCCGTGCCAGACCAGCAGTTTGACGAGGTAGCAGAATTGCTCGATGGAGAAGTCGGCTGCGAGAGAGGCTTGGCGGCCCTCTTTTCCTACGATGCCGACGCCTACGTCTGCGGCTTGGATCATGGAGACGTCGTTGCCGCCGTCGCCGATGCAGCATACGCGCTTCTTCGTGAACTCGCGGATGAGGCGTGCGACGTCGGCCTTTTGGGTGGGTGAGCACCGGCAGGCTACGACAGTGGGGAGTTGCACGGCGACGGTGATGAATTCTTGGCGGAAGTGTTGGAGGAATAGCGCGAGTGATTCGCCGTCGATGAGGAGGCAGGCGTCTAGTTTTCCGCGGAGGAAGTCGAGGGAGGAAGAGGCGAGGTCTTTGCGCTTTAGCTTGGCGATGGTGTGGACATATTGGCCGCGGGCTACGAGTTTGGAGGAGACGGCTACGCAGCGGGCTGTTTCTACCTTGTCGCCTGTTAACATCCAGATTTTGATACCTGCGTTGCGGAGGAGTTCGAGGGAGGGTTTGACGTCTTTTTGTAGCTTGTCTTCGACACCGGTGACACCGAGAAGTTCCAGGTCGTTCTCTAGATACTCCTTTACGACGTTGGCGACGGCGGCATCACGGTTGTTGAGGGCAAGCGAGGCCTGCGCATGCTTGGTGGAGAAGTCTTGGTAGATCTGCGCGGAGAGCTTCTTGCGGCCGACGACCAGTGTTCGGAGACCTTCCCGGGCCATGTTGGCTGTCTCTTCGTCGAGCCAGTCGTTCGCGGCAACAATGGAGGTCATGACAGTGTCGGCACCCTTCTGGTAGAACCATATCTCGCTACCATCATCAGTAGGTGATGATGCCGGACCCTGATAAAACTTCACAACGATACCCATGCGCTTGCCTTCTGATGTGAATGGAAAGACATTCAGGATGCGCACTTTCACGACAGTATTCCCGCTGTCGCACGATAGGAGGGTCATGGATTCGCGGTCACGAGACAAGAGCTTCAAGCCAACAGCCTCGGTCCATCTGACAATGGCAATCTCATCGGGAGATGAGGCTTGGTATGTAGTCACGGTCTCCCCATTCTCTTCTTCCGTTGTCGGCGTTACGTTATGGCAGAGGGCTAGGGCTAGCACAACATCGCGGACCCGGGATCCAATCTCTCGTCGCGTACGAGTGGCTGAGGTGAGAGGTGCGATGTATGCAGAAGAAGGCGTGACAAGCGATGGGGCTTCTCCGGCGGGTGGTGTGAAGCACTGGTGAACGTATGATGATACCTCGTCCATAGCCTCGTTTGCGTAGGAGACTGTGCCGACGTGAATCTTCTTCATGACCATCTCTACGTACTGTTAGTAGTGTCGGGATTAATACTTGGTTGAACATACCATTCTGTGTCAGAGTACCTGTTTTGTCGCTCAACAGGTACTCAATGCGACCTAAGTCTTCTGGTATTGTGCTAGTCCGAACGATAGTGCCTTTGATGCTTTCATCATGCTGTATGAACCATGCATAGACCGACTTGCCCATATCGAGATTGACACGCAGACCTACTGGGACAATAGTGGAGAACAGAATAAGGAATCTCAGCATTGAGGCCCACCATTGCCGGCCTTCGATGACCTGGAATCGCGCGAGTGCCACTAGGATGAAAGAGAGCGAGAGGGTGAAGATACATAGCCACTTGGTCAGAGAGTTTATCTCTAATTCAAGCAGACCAGTCTTGGATCTTGAAGGCGATGTAGAAAGCGCTTGACGAGTTTGTGGGCCGGTGTATACGACCACAGCCAGTAGACTGCAGCTTGATGCAACGACAGTATTCGCCCAGATGGTGTTGTCGATGCTCAAGGGTGCCGACTGCACTTCGTCGGGGGATGACGTTTCTTCGTTATCATGAGGGTCATAATGTCGTTGCGTCTTGGGCGGCAGTTCAACGGTTCCGTAGAATTCATTGACCTTCTTGTCCGGTTTGCCGGCCACGACGCGGAGCCGGGTGTACTCGCCAATATCCAGATTCTGTGTAAGTGGCGAAGTCAAGCGCAGCTTCCAGTCGGTTTCACCGTCCAACTGATCTGTTCGGATGAAGGCTTCTCCCGAGGTCCCAGATGCTGTGGCACTGTCAACCTTAGCCGTGCCGCCAGTGTCGATGCCATCAATAAGCGCAGCCGATGAACTTTCCGCCTTGGTGTCATCTTCAATAGGTGCTGCATTCTCGCTGGAGTAGCTCTTGAGGAGCACCATGTCGGCAGGCACTCGCTGGTCCTTGCCGAGTTTCACAACGTCTCCAACCCTGAGGCTCCGAGAGGGTTTCACGACTTCCCAGTAGGTGCATGTCGCCAAGCCCTTGCCCGAAAGTCGCTGCTCCTCGTCGTCAATCTCTGCCAACCGACCCTCGTCCTTGGGCTGCTTCCTCAGGCGCTTCTTCCTCTGCGAGTTCTTTCCGGGCGCGACGCCGTTCCCGAGGCTGTTCTCCTCAAACTTCAAAACGGTGTAACCCTCCGAGTTTGCTTCTGCATCTCTCCGCCGTCGAGCAATATCGTCCATAGCCTCTTTACTCAGTGTTATCGTTAAGACGAATGCCAGCGGTGCGATGTATGTCGACAGGTAGCCGATTCGGAGGACGGGTATAACCTGCGATAGGGCGACGAGCAGAAAGTACATGTTGATGAAGAAGGAGAACTCATTGTAGAGGGTGCGTGGAAGGAAACTCCACGGGGTGTACTTGGCATTCGACACGGCGTTCGCGGGGAATCTCGAGGTCTGAAGCTGGCCGACGAAGATGGTGCGCTGGGTGGTCGGATCGTGCTCCTCGTCGGCATCCGACTCTCCTGCGTCGTCGCCTAACTGTATGGGTGCGTTGTTCTGGCGTGATAGGAAGCTGGGCAGGCGCATGTTGGAGCCCAGACGGGAAAGAGCGCTCGGTGGTGGTTGCCGTCTTCTCCGTGGTGTGTGCTGTTCAGGCAAGAGCGGCGAGTCGTCGTCGCCCGACTGGCCATAACTGCCAGCAGAGTCTCTCTTGGACCCTTCATCGTCGTCCAGCAGCCCTCTTAGGTCGTCCTCTTCCGGCTCTTCCTTCTTCTTGCTCGCGCGCAGCCTGCCAACTCTGAGATTCCGCAGCGGTATCCTCGCGCCCAGCTCATGGTATGGCCGCCGTTGCTCCTTGGACTGGCGCCGTGGTGGTGTAGCGGCGGACTGGGAGCGAGAGGCCAGAGGGTCCAGCTCCTCTAGGTCGAGCTCTAGGTCCGAGTCGTCGTCTGGCGCATTCGGCTGGTGGTACTGGTGGGGAGCGGCCATGGCTCATGGGCGGACGAAGAGGGTGCTGGCTAGTTCCGCCTCATGTGCGACGGGCTGGGTGTGGTTATGGCTGCGAGGGTTGCCTTCGGGGGTCCGCGGCGTTTCGGGGGTGTCTGAATGGGCTGTCTGGGCGACTCGACGTTTTGTTTCGGCGGCCGAGCGCTGTTTGGGCCGTGTCGATGGTATATGACGTATGCCCTGAGAATGTTAGGCGTCGCAGAGGGAAGGGCGGTATGTGAATTGTAGAGTCCATCAATATGTGTCTCGACGTCGCGTCACTCTGGGCTGTGTGGCGCAGGCGCAGGGCTGTGGCTCGAGGACAGGGTTGCCGCGGCGGGCCGTTTCAATGTCCAACCTTGGGCGCAGGAACAGCTGGCCAGATCGCTTTCCCACCCTTCCTGCCAGATTACCTACGATGCGCCCGGGGATCGCCTCCGATATTTGATTCTCGCTGCCTTCCTGGACGAAGATCGCGTCTTTCGCAGTTGTGCGACACGCAGAGCCCATGCTCTTCTGCTTCTCTAGAGGTACGTAGCCATGTTCTCCGTCTCTGACGTAGAAAGGGATGGCGATTACGCCTCTTACGGGTCGCGTTCAAGTCACCGTTGCGACTTCCTTTCACGCTCAGTCATATGCACTTGCGTCTACACAAACTCCTCTCTCCTGCATAATTCTCCTCGGTTTGCATATTTTGTCCCACGAGGCGTCTACCGTGGCATGTCAGACCTCGCTTCACCACCCCGACCGAGGCCCAACCCTCTGGCCACAGACCCCCAATTCCAGTGCTGACTGCCTGTGCAGTAC